AAAAACGAGCCTTAAGTTAGGAAAATCAGTACAAATGGATAAAGCGAATGGTAACATATGCAACTCTGAGTCACACACCTGAGTGCCAGGTAGGCGAGAAAAAAGTTTGGGCGCGGAAAAAGAGAAAAGATTCAGGGGAAAGAAAAAGAAGCCCATCATCATCATATTGACAGAGCCAGTCTTTAATCCCTCGATTTATTTTCTCCATTTGAAGCTCGATTTTATCATTTAAAACCGACGTTTGAGAAAACACCGTCTCCCCATTTTAAGAAACAATTCATGGCTGGAATCACCGGGTTGCTGTGAGTTTTCCGGGCTATATTAGTCATGTTCCAGAAGCATTCTCTCCTGACGTTTCGCCTGCATCTATGGCAGGCATCCTCATAAGTTGTGAGATATGTTGGAAACTAGGAAAAATGGGATTTATATATCTGTAGAATGTCCAGGGTGGCTACCAGGATTTTAAAAAAAATATTGCTACCAGTATTTTAAAAACTCTAAAATCATAACAGTAAATAAAGAACAACACTGAAAAATAAGGGAATGCCAGACAAGAAACAATCAGGGTCAGCTAATCACCTCCCAACAAAGGATTCCCCCAGGCAGTAAGAAGCCAGACCTTGAAACTGATAGGTCATTAAATGCAAATCAAAGTGGCCAATTGCAACATTCAAACAGAGAAGAGTTCCATCTCCCACACTGGAGAAAGAACCCCATTTTTCCTGGTTTCCGACAGATCTCACAACTTCTGAAGATGCCTGCCCTAGACGTAGGCGAAACGTCAGGAGAGAATGCTTCCCGGAAAACTCCCAACAACCCAGCAAATCCAGATTCCCTCCCCGTTAGATATATCCCGGTGTTACAAGTTCAAACTCTCTATTACCCGTACTTTTTAAAATCAGAACTTGTTTTTAGAAAATGAATATTGTTTATGGAAAACTACGGGAATGGTTTAAAAAGTGCACAGCTTCGTCTTCTTCTTTTCGAGCCCTTCTTCTTCCTCTTCCTCTCTCCCTCCCGCCGCTCCATCCCCGCAACTTTCAGCCTTTCTTGTTCCCTTAATTCCTGCCTAAACGGTTTTGCTCTGGGAGAAGAAATCTTTTCTAGAGGAGGAGGAGGAGGAGGAGTGGGGAGGGAGGGAGGGATGAGGGGGGGGGGGGAAGAGAAAACCCCTCAAGAAGAGAAGGGTATTATTGTTTTAATCCTCTTATCCGCAGTCATTTTAAAACAGGGTGTTTTGGAACCTGAAATGGCGTCTTGTCCTCCCCAATCCCACCCTCCATCCTTCTGGGATGATGGGAGAGGAGCGAAAGGCAAAGGAGGGCCCGGGCACCATCTCGGAGCAATCCCTGCAAAGGCTTTCAACCACTCGCCCCTTTCTCGGCTGCAGAGGCATGACAAAGCCGAAAAACAAATAAAACCCGACGCTGCCGTTAGGAGCCAACTCTGCCAAAAAGGAAAAGGAGAAGGAGAAAGAAAAAAAGAAAAAAGGAAAGAAAGGAGGAGAAGAAACAGAGGCGCACCCTCGGCTGCCTGCAGAGCGAGAGGAGAGAGAGAAAAGCAAGGCGAACTGCTATAAAGGAAAGAGTGTGTGAAAGAGACAAAAATTAAAGGAAACGAATTTTTGAGGAAAAAAAGAAGTCCCCCTTCATTGTGCCATCCCTCTCCCCCCTCCTTTAATCCCTCGGATTATGGAGGAATCCAATCTTAATCCCAGCCTAACGCCTTCCCGCACACCGCGGCGAGGGGTCACCTTCTGTCTCTGCCAGAGGCCTCCTACGAGGACTCCTCAAACTCACCCTTAAATAGCTTTCTATATTCGCATTTCAAGAAGCGTATGCCTTTTTAAGAAGCCTCAGTGGTGAAATGGGTTAAATTTTTGTTGCCTGCCGTTCGAATCCGGGGAACGGGGTGAGCTCTGGTCTGTCAGCTCCAGCTTCTCATGCTAGGAATGAGAGAAGCTTCCCACAGGATGCGTTGTCGAAGGCTTTCATGGCCGGAATCACTGGGTTGTTGTGTGTTTTCCGTCCAGTATGGCCATGTTCCAGAAGCATTCTCTCCTGACCTTTCGCCTGCATCTATGGCAGGCATCCTCAGAGGAGCCCCCGGTGGCACAGTGGGTTAAACCCCTGTGCTGGCAGGACAGAAGACCGACAGGTCGCAGGTTCGATTCTAGAAAGAGGCGGATGAGCTCCCTCTATCAGCTCCAGCTCCTCATATGGGGACATGAGAGAAGCCTCCCACAAGAATGATAACAAAACATCAAATCATCCGGGCGTCCCCTGGGCAACGTCCTTGCAGACGGCCAATTCTCTCACACCAGAAGCGACTTGCAGTTTCTCACGTCGCTCCTGACACACAAAAAAAATCCTCAGAGGCAGGTATGTAGCGGGGGGGGGGGGGGGGGGGGGGGGGGGGCTTCAGCCCCTCCCCAAATTCTCATGGTGGTCTGCGAGAAGGCCTTACTGGTACATTATTTAAACTGTTATTTTATTCATATCATGATCTGATCACCATGACAATATATCCCATATGCATGGGGGTATTGGGGTAACGATACAAAAGGTTTGCTAGGGTAGACCCTCTTTCACTCAGACTCAGCCCCCCCCCCCCCATCAAACTCAGCCCCCACCCTCCGAAACAAAATCCTGGCTACGGGCCTGCTCAGAGGTTGTGAGGTCTAACGTTCCCACAGGATGGTAAAACATCTGGCGCCCCCTGGGCAACCTCCTTACAGACGGCCAATTCTCTCACGCCAGAAGCTACTTGCAGTTTCTCAAGTTGCTCCTGACACGAAAAAAAGCACTGGCGGTGCAAACTTAGACAGATTTACTTTGAGGGATCCACTTCATGACATTTGGGGAAGTCGCTCTCTCTCTCTCAGACACATGACAAACTCTTCTGAACAAATCTCGCCAAGGAAACCTTGTAAAGGAGTTGCCCTAGTCACAAGGAGGACTCGCAGATACGTACAGGATACGCACAAGAGATGACAGAAGATAATTTCATTTTCTTCTGAAAGAAGTAGACTAGTGATGCCTTCGGGATATATTTTTGGGATAGCATGTTCGTCGAAGGCTTTCATGGTCGGAATGACTGGGTTATTGTGAGTTTTCCGAGCTGTATGGCTATGTTCCAGCAGCATTCTCTCCTGATGTTTCTCCTGCATCTAAGGCAGGCATCCTCAGAGGTCTGTTGGAAACTAGGCCAACTGAAGCATTCGCACCTACCTCAAACGGACAAGAGCTCTTTCTTCCACCCTGGACATCCCACAGATATATAAACCCAATTTTCTTAGTTTCCAACATAACCTCTGAGGATGTCTGCCATAACTACGGGCGAAACGTCAGGAGAGAATGCTGCTGAAACGCGGCCATGCAGCCCGTAAAAGTCACAACAACCCAGCATGTTCTTCCCTTTCAAGAAGGACAAAACTGAAGTCTCACTGACCTAGTGAAAGTTATAGCAAGCAGTGGCTTGATTTTTTTAAGCCTAGGCCTTTTGCAAAATGGACTTAAATTATTATTAATTCAAAATGCGAACGCGAAATGCATTTGTTTCATAGACACCTTAGGGGCCCTTAGTGGCGCAGTGGGTTAAACCCTTGAGCCAGCAGCACTGCTGACCGAGAAGCAGGATGAGCTCCTGTCTGTCAGCTCCAGCTTCTCATGCGAGACATGAGAAGCCTTCCACGGGATGGTAAAACATCCGTGCGTCCCCTGGGCAACGTCCTTGCAGACGGCCAATTTTCTCACACCAGAAGCGACTTGCAGTTTCTCAAGTCGCTAGTGACACTAATATACCTCCTACATAACAACTCCAACCATCGTCCAAGTCAAAAAAAGAAGCACCATTAAAGCCTTGACAGACCGTGCAAAAAGAATCTGCGAACCCCACCTCCTTCAAGATGAACTGAACCACCTAAACTGGGCTCTACAGGCCAATGGATACTCCACCTCAGACATCAGAAGAGCTGCAAGCCATATATATATGCATGTGCACACACCTTACACACATAGCCTGAAGATACAACGTTTTCCATACTTTTGAGCATGAGAAAAAGTGTGTGTGTACTGAGCCATCAGAAAATAAAGGTGCCAGCTACCCATTTGGATCATTTTTGGAGTTATTTGGATTTTGGAGTTCCAGATAAAGGGTGTCAGGGATGTGAAAGGGATGTGTCAGTAATAGCAGAAAAAGCAGGTCCTACCTAGAAAGTTTGAAACTTCTGACAGAGGGTCTAAACTGTGACCTCATGTGACAGGAAGTGCATCAATTTAAAGCAGATCCAGGGGCCCTTCCAGACAGGCCCTATATCCCAGGATCTGATCCCAGGTTTTCTGTTTATCCCAGATTGTCTATCAGTGCGGACTCATAAATTCCAGTTTAAAGCAGAATGCCTGGGATCAGATCCTGGGATATAGGGCTTGTCTGGAAGGACGCAAAGTCTCCAGCAGAAAAACCTTGTAAGAGAACAGTAGGCGCCCAGAGCGTGGGATCAAGTGCAATCTACAGTGCAAATCAATTGCAGTTTGAAACTGTATTATATGGTCAGTGTGGACTCGTATAAGGGGCCTGCGCGAATTGAATAAAATGCAACATTTCTTTCCAGGTAATAACGACAATGAAGGCGGACCAAGGGGTTTCTCATTCTTGAAGAGACGTTTCCAAACATGGGGGTCATCTCACGTTCTCCCCTTTCCCTTGCATTCCCTCACTCCTGCTCCTGTTCTCCAAGGATTCAATAAGACTTCTCCACCTGGCTGGCCTTGGAGTAAAGGGAAAGACAACAATAACAAGGCCCCAGCCTCCCTTTAAGATGCTCTGAGAAGGGAAGGGAGGTAGAGTGCGAGGGGCTCAGGAGAACGAGGCGGGCAGAGCTTGAGCAAGGCCCTCTTTTTTTGATTGACGCGGCGGTGGGCCATTGGGCGCGCGGCGGGGGATGTGTGCAGCGCCTTTTAAAAATCCTTCCTGGGCCCGCCTCTCGCAGTCGATGGCAGCTTGGCAGGAGCCGGAGAGGAGAGGGGAGAAGTGGGGCCAGCGAAAGCTCTCCTTCCTTCCTTCCTTCCTTCCTTGACTCCTTCTGCGGCCCAAGAGAGTCCCGCACCTGCTTCGCTTTCCTTCCTACCATCCCTGGCCCTAAAGGGACGGGGAAGGAGCCCGAAAAAGCTGGAAAGGTCCGCTCCCTCCTCGCCTGAGAGGGAAGCCTCCCAGAGAAAAGGGTCGCCCTCGGAGGAAGAGGAGGAGGAGGACAGTCGGCGGAGAGGTAAGTGGATCCAGAGACTCCTTTGGCGCTGGGTTGATGGGAAGGGAGTCAGTCCCCTTAGGATCCAAAAGGAAATTCCCAGCCTTCAGGGCTTCCTAGCCAGGCCTATCTACACTGAACGGTGTGATACAATTTCAAACCGATATAGAAGCAGGTACAGATGTTTCCATGCGAAAATTTGGGACCAGTTTAAGGCCCGGATGGTGATGGCACAAAACACAGAGTCACTGATGCTCATTTAAGGCTTGGTTTTGCGCACTTTGAGGGGAGTTTTGTTAGCTGGCCCCCGCGGTTGGAAGCTAGTTTCGAACTGCGTTAAATGGTCAGTGTGGACGTGGCCTGAGTCGTGGTGGAAGCCCGTCTCCCTCTTCCTCCGCCATGATCCTCGTTTCCCTTCCTTTTGGTGTATCTAGACCAGATATGGGCAAACTTGGGCCTCTAGGTGTTTTGGACTTCAACTCCCACCATTCCTACAGCCTCAGGCCCCTTCCTTTCTCCCCACAGCCGCTTAAGCGGCTGTTAGGAATGGTGGGAGTTGAAGTTCAAAACACCTGGAGGACCCAAGTTTGCCCATGCCTGATCCTTACTCTTGGGAGCTGTAGTTTTGCCTTCTCTGCCCTCGTTTCTTTGCCCCATAAATGTGTTTCTCTTTCTCCCCTTTGACTTCAACGGAGGCCTATCTCTTGCCTCGCTTTTCCAAAGTTAAATGCCTAGCAGATGGTCCCAAGGAGTCCGAAAGAACCAAGCGCGCGTTGACTTTGTTTATATATTTTTCCCCCTCTGGAGAGGCGGCGATGGCGCGGTTCCACAAATGGTTTTAATACTCCGGTCCGCTCTGCAAACTTGTCCGCCGCCCGCCTTTGAACTCTTGCCTGTGGAGGGAGGGGGTCGAAGTTTGGTCCCGGGATTGGGGGCTTTCTCAAATCTTTGCGTTTCCTCTTAAAATTCTCCCGTCCTCCCATCTGTTCCGATCGCCCTCCTGCGCGTCCCAGATCGCTACCCTCCGGGGTAGATGGTAAATTTCACCCCTATTTACATAATGATGTTTTAATAAGCTAAACAGCCCAAGGAGCCCGAGGGGAAGAGGGGAACGGGGGTCCCCGGCAACTGAAGGCACCGGGAGGAAGTTTCCAACCCCCCCAAAAGGGGGGGGGGATATACCACGAGAACGATTGTGGAGTTAGGATCACGTTGAAAGAGACATTAAGGGTGCATATAGATTGTAGAATGAATGCAGTTTGTCACCACATTAACTGTAGGAGTCCCAGGTGAGCTCCTGTCTGTCAGTTCCAGCTTCTCATGCGGAGACATGAGAGAAGCATCCCACAATCCGGGGAGCGGGGTGAGCTCCCGTCTGTCAGCTCCAGCTTCTCATGCAGGGAACGAGAGAAGCATCCCACAATCCGGGGAGGGGGGTGAGCCCCCATCTGTCAGCTCCAGCTTCCCATGCGGAAACATGAGATAAGCATCCCACAATCCGGGGAAGGGGGTGAACTCCCGTCTGTCAGCTCCAGCTTCTCATGCAGGGACATAAAATAAGCACCCCACAATCCGGGAAAGGGGATGAGCTCCCGTCTGTCAGCTCCAGCTTCTCATGCAGGGACATGAGAGAAGCATCCCACAATCCAAGGAGCGGGGTGAGCTCCCGTCTGTTAGCTCCAGCTTTTCATGCGGGGACAAAGCCTCCCACAGGGTAGGAAAGCATTAGGGCGTCCTCTGGGCAACATCCTTGCAGACGACCAATTCTCTCACACAGAAGCGACTTGCAGTTTCTCAAGTCGCTCCTGACACTGAATAAAAGAAACACTTTTGATAGGAATCAAGAGCTGTTAGGCTCAAAAATAACCCTCACTTGGGGGTGATTCCACAAAGTGAAGCAGAGTGCCAGAAGCACAATTCATAACCAGCAGAAGCTTACGTGTAAAGAGCAAGGGTTAGTTTACCTGCCATGGCGCAAAACCATGAGTTCTCTTTGGCAGAGAAGGCTGATGACCTTGGAAACCACAGCTCCCAGGATTCGATAGCATTGAGCCATGGCAGTTAAAGTGGAGTCAAACTGCACTAATTCTATACAGTGACGTGAGGCTCGACTACATGGCCTTGAGGGTGAATCGCCTTTAGGTCTTGGGGAGTCTTAGAATCCTAGAGTGGATTCTAAGCGGCTTAAGCGGCTGAGGGGCAAAAGGAAGGGGCCTGAGGCTGTTAGGAACTGGGGGAGTTGAAGTCCAAAACACATGGAGAACCCAAGTTTGCCCATGCCTGTAATAGCTCCTCTCAGTCATACTATTGAGCCAAGAAAATAATAAACTTTGGGCGAAAGACATCAAACGGCCTCCACTCTTTAGGTAATTAGGCCCTTCCTAGGAAAGGCAGCCCATCAACTAATGGCTCAACCCAGACCCCAAAACCTGGTGGATATTGTAGGAAAATCTATGTACCTGTATTGAATCCAGGAAGGGAAGAAAGGCACTTCCGGAAAGTTGAAAGCAATGGGTCTTTCTTTTCCGGACCGTCGGATTCTATTGGTAGGTCCGGAATCTGGATCCCACTTGATTGGGGTGCATGGTTTCGAAATATTCGGCCGAAATTCAAGTATTTATCCTAACTGTGAAATCATACATTTTTGAACGAATGATAAAGGTGAAGTAAATCCCATTGGTTCAGTGGGTCGACTCTGGTTGAGCTATCAAAAGGATAGAGGCTTGCACCGGAAGTCAGTGTCATCGTCATCATTGGGGCTTTATTCCGAGAATCATAGAGTTGGAAGAGACCTCTTGGGCCATCCAGTCTAACCCTCTGCCAAGAAGCAGGAACATTGCATTCAAAGCACCCCGACAGATGGCCATACAGCCTCTGTTTAAAAGCTTCCAAAGAAGGGGCCTCGACCACACTACGTGGCAGAGAGTTCCACTGCTGAATGGCTCTCGCAGTCAGGAAGTTATTCCTAATGTTTAGATGGAATCTCCTTTCTTGTAGTTTGAAGCTGTTGTTCCGTGTCCTAGTCTCCAGGGAAGCAGAAAACAAGTTCGCTCCCTCCTCCCTATGACTTCCTCTCACGTATTTATACATGGCTATCATGTCTCCTCTCAGCCTTCTCTTCTTCAGGCTAAACATGCCCAGCTCTTTAAGCCGCTCCTCATAGGGCTTGTTCTCCAGTCCTTTGATCATTTTAGTCGCTCTCCTCTGGACACATTCCAGAGAAGGGCGACGTATTAACTGTTCCCAAGGGCGTATTTTCTACACGATTTCCTTCTAGACAAAACTGCAGCCATTGGGCATAACGGGTGACAGTGAGAGCAACAGGTTTCCGAGGGAAGGTGTCTATATAGGATCGCTCTGCTTCTCCCCCACTGCGCGGGTTTTTCAGGGCTACTTCTCATCAAAACATCGCCATTCTTCTAACCTTTAGGGAGGGTGTGTTTTCAAGCATATGGAAACAAATGGAGTTGGCTTTCAAGTGTAATTGGCGTCCTGGTTTCCTCATCCCCACCTGCGGCTCAACAAGTAGTTTTAGGCTGACTTTTCGTTTCGTTTCTTTTGATCCCAAATATTTAAAGCCAAGCCATGATAACGTTTGGGAAATAATTTTCAGGTGCATCGCGAATTGGAGTTAGAAACCAGCTTTCCCTCAAACAAAGATGGAAAAACATGTTTTCTCCGGCTGTTTCTGCAGTGATCATATAATAATGCCGTTTGGACTGCATTAAAGAATACAGTTCATTACACTCAAGAGAAAGGATGTTTTGAAATGATGAAGTGATCTTTCACAATACTTTTTTCTGGCATTCTCTTCTTGGAATATTTTGTTGTATTGAATACTGCAGTTCAAGTCAGTTCAGACTGCCTCGTATGGTCGGTGTAGAACCAGCCTTGGTTTCAATGTGTTTATGGGTGAAACGATGTGCTTAGTTTGCAGTTCTGTGGACCCCAAAGGATCATGTGAACTTAGTATATTTTCACTGGTGGCGCAATGGGTTCAACCCTTGTGTCGCCAGGACTGCTGACATAAAGGTCAGGGGTTGGAATCCAGGGAGCGGGGTGAGCTCCCGTCTGTCAGCTCCAGCTTCTCATGCGGTGACATGAGAGGAGCCTCCGACAGGATGGAAAAACATCCTTGCGTCCCCTGGGCAACGTCCTTCCAGACGGCAAATTCTCTAAAAGCGAGAGCGACTTCCGCAAAAACTCCCTGCTCCATTAAGGAATGTATCCCTTAAGGCGGATGAGCTTCATCTATTTACTTGAGAGTAAATCCTTAAGATTATTTTATTTTCTACGGAGTCCTCAATATTCGATCAGATCCCCGCCCCCCCCCCACACACACACATACATTGAATTCAGCCACCCCTCAAAAGAAGCGAATTTACAAAGAGCGAGAAAAAGGAAACTCAACAGTTCTTCCTCTCTCTCTCTGTCTGTCTGTCTTGAGAGAGAGAAAGAGAGGAAAGGGCCTGAGGGTGTTAGGAAATGGAGGGCCCAAGTTTGTCCATGCCTGTAATAGCGCCTCTCAGTTATATATATAGGAAGCACTGTATATATTCTCCATTCCGCAATTGGTCAATAAAAAAGACAAGTTTCCTGAGGCTTATGATGAGCTCCTCAAAGTTCCTTACTGGGTGAACAAACTTCTTCTACTGAAGTCTACAGGAATGTAGAGTTTCTTTTTCTCTCTCCTGTGAATGTCTTGATCAATGAATTGAACCCAAGACAGTGGGCGTTTGCATTAATTTTGACACTTTTAGACCTCCAAAACGAAAAAGGAACCACTGTGAGAGAAGAATTCCAACATAAGCTGGATCTACACTGCTAAATAATGCACACCAAATTGCATAGTTTGGCAATGTAGGTCCAGCCACAGACTGCGATATTATTGGGCCCTTCCACACAGCTCTATAACCCAGAATATCAAGGTAGAAAATCCCACATTACCTGAGTATAGACTCGGATATGCCAATTCAAAGCAGATATTGTGGGATTTTCTGCCTTGATATTCTGGGATATAG